GTGTGTGGTGGTGTGTGGTGTGTGGTTGGTGTGTGTGGTGCATGCTGCTAGCCATGAATAGAGTGGTGACACAGGCCAGCAGCTGCCACTTGGGAGGTAAAAGGCATGTTAGCAGCTGCCCTGCCTCTAGCTTCTTTGGTGCATGTGGTATATGTGTATGGTGTGTATACATATGTCTAGTGTGTATACATGTGTGTCTGTGCTTGTGTGTGTGCCTGTGGAGATCAAGTCTATGGTTCCCCATCTTATCTGTCTTTACATTTTTATTCATTTAACATTAGTGTTTGTGCAAGAGTGTAGGTGTGCACAGAGCACAGTATATGTGTCAGGGGATAGCTCACACTTGTTTCTCTCTTTATAGAGAGGGTTCTGGAGGGGAACTCAGGTTATGTCAGGCCTGTTAAGCAAGCACTGTTACCAGATGAGCTATCTTGATAACTTCCCACCTTTACTTGTGCATTTTTTGTCTTTAAAAATACTACATTTATTAGCCAGGCAGGAGTGGCACACGCCTTTAAATCCCAGTACTTGGGAGGCAGAGGTAGGTGGATCTCTGTGAGTTCAAGGCCAGCCTGGTCTACAGAGTAAGTTCCAGGACAGCTGAGGGTACACAGAGAAACTCTGTCTCTAAAAATAAAAAAATGTAACTATTTATTGTGTGTGTGTGTGTGTGTGTGTGTGTGTGTGTGTGTGTGTGTGTATGTGTGTGTATGTATTTGTTTCATGGCACATGTGTGGAAGTCAGAGGACAACTAGAAGGAATTAATTCTTGCCTTTCACTATTTGGGTCCTGGTAATCAAACTCGGGTTGCTAGGCTTGGCAGCAGGTGCCTTTACCTGCTAAGCCATCACGCTGGCCCATTTCTTTTCTTTTCTTTATTTACTTAATTTTAACTGAAGATCTCTTACCTTTGCTGCTTCCATGAGTAGCCAAGAACAAGGAAAAAGGGAGGGAGACGTCATTTCCACAACTTTCCCTTCATACACTGAGTTAGACAGTCATTACCCAGAGTAATGACTGTCATTAGAAGCTGGCAGTAGGGATAGATGTTAAAAGAATGCAACCCATCTTCAAATCGGGTGCCTGGGACATTGTGATCTGTTCTACATGAGAGGAAAGCAATTTAGGAAAGGTAGAACCATCAGGGATGCAGGGAGGCTGCCGGTCTAGGAGTCAGGGAGTCTGTCTGGCCATGGAGTGAAGGGATGCCCATAGGATCTGGCAAGAATGGAGCCACCTGCAATACCCACAGGCAGGTCTGAGGCTGTTCTTTGTTCTAAGCAAGGGGTTGGAGGTGGCTCCTAAAGACTTGCTGTCCAGGGAGATGACAGCGCTGTCACTGTCTTCTGCCAGGATGCAGCTGTCCTTGACCTCTTTGTATTCATTTGTTGTATTTCTTACTAGACCCTTGTCAGCTTCTCTATGACATCTTTGGAGATGGCAGGCATCATTTTGCTCATATCCGGGGGTGGGACACTCTTAGAGAGACACAGAAGATGAGCTGCAGGTCATCCTTCTAGCTGTCATTGGTCTCATAGGTTGCACCATGGAGGACACAGTGGCAGTCCTGTTCTGGCAGCATCTTGTCATAGGTTTGGCCCACATCACCTGCTGCGTCTCTGTGCCCTCCTCCATGAGGGTGTTCTTCTCCTCACTCAGGCAGGAGAGCACACACAGCCTTGCTCTCCACTCCCTCTGCCATGGTTGACCTGCACACCTCCATATCACTGATCAGCCACTTGAGACAGCCACACCAGAGGCCATGTTTCCAGAAGTGAGAGGGAGACAAGGAAAGCCACAGAAGAAGGGAGACCCGGTCGTTACTGCTGGCATCCAACTGCACCCCTCCACCTGATTTTTCAAGACAGAGATTCTTTACTGAACCCAGCTTGACTGGAGCAGCTAGAATGGCCAGCTGACTCCTGAGATGGGTCTGTCTACATTGCCCCTTCTTCATCCAGGGCTGGGGTTACAGATGTGCTGCTGCACCCGTGGCTTTTACCTGGGTGCTGAGGACCTGCACTCAGATCCTTATGCTTGTGCAGCAGTTCCCCACTCACAGCAACCCTCCTGCCTCAGTTTCCAGAGGCAGTTTCTAGAACTGCAAGCATGAGTCACCACTCCTGTCTCCTCCCAGCTCCTTTGTCGTCTCTGCTTCTGGAGGCTGTGCCCTTCCACTCTCCCTTCTAATGCCCCATCCCAATAAAGCTCCAGATTTTAATGTAGATTATAAATAACATTTATTAAAGCAGCTGTGTCTAGTGACACATTTGGGAAGACATGTGAGGTACAGGACCCCCACTCTATTCACACATACAAGATCAACTGGGATAGTGAGCGTTTGTCATGTCTCATACAACCTCCTTAGCCCCTCGGTACAGTGTGACCTTTACAGAGCTTCTTGACTCAGGGAACAAGATGCTGGAGTTGGCGATGGTGTTCCTTTCCCAGCCTCTGTCCCTGTCCCACACGCATCCAGGGTTCCTGGGACTCTTCTGTCTGGAAAACTGAGCGGAAGGCCTTCAGGGCCTGCACTAGCAGCCGCGGGGTACTACGAGCCAGCGTAGAAGGCTCCAAGCCCACCAGGCCACTGAAGACCACACGCTGGTCCCCCAAGCTGGCCCTCACCCAAGCTCTGAAAAGTCCTGTCAGTGCCTTGGAGCCCAGGTCTGCCAGCACCTGCAGAGGGAAAAACCACTCCTGAAGGTTTTTGACCTGGGGACCATTTCCTCCTCCTGGAACCTAGGAGCCAACTTAGAGCCTAGCCCCTCCCCCTTCTCTCCCCAAAGTTTCCCTAATGTCCGGATCAGGTGGATGTCCATAAGAGCTCTTTCCTCTTACCTTTCTACCTCCTATCTTCATATTCACCTGTTATTCCAGCCCACCACCCCCGGAAAGCTGGATCCCCCTGTCCCTTCTCTGCACCGAGCTCCAGTCAGGTGAGCCTTCCCAGGCCTCTGTGAGGGAGCCTGGGGACCTACCTCGTGAAAGTTCATAGCCAAGTGCTCAGCCGGGATCTGTAGGATCCAGGCATGTGCTCGCTGAATGGCAGCCAACTTCTGTTGTAGAGGCTCCAACCCTGGGCAGCCTGCGAGAAAGGGAGATCCCCAAACTATCAGAAAACGGACAACAGAGGGTGCTAGGGGTGGACATCCCAGTGCCCGCATCCTTTGCGAGCTCCAGATAGGGAAACTGAGGCTGGCAGAGATTCCGTGGTCATGCAAGGCAGAGTGGCTCTATCTGACACCAATGAGGGCTCAGTGTCAGTCGGCCTAAAAAGTCATCTGTTCTCCCGGAAGAGAGCGCAGAGCGCGCGTGGTCTTCTCTGTCCCAAGGGCTTTCTAGCCGACAATCCCACCACCTCTCTAGAAGGCCGGCAGGGGGCAACATTACCCTTTGTTTCCGCGCGCCGCTCTGGCTTTGGCTTCTGGAACCAGGTTCCTGCAACTCTTGATCCTGGGAAAGACTTCGTGGTTA